CTGCACGGCTTCATCTTCTACTTCCTCGCTTCCGTCCTCCTCTCTGTGCTCTTGGTGTTGAAAGCTGGACGGCGATGGAATAAGTACTTTAAATCCCGAAGGCCACTTTTCACGGGAGGGCTTATAGGAGGGCTCTTCACATATGTCCTGTTCTGGACTTTCCTGTATGGCATGGTTCATGTCTACTAAAACAACTAGGAGCCACATTAGCTGCAGTGGGTTTTAATGAAGCAGGAGGACTGTTGCCAAAAATCATCTACACAACTAGGCCAGCTTACCTTTTAAACTGTTGTTCATCGCTTGTATCATTCATACTGTCAGTAAATTATGTCCAAGTACAAATGAATCGGTAGTACTGTTCCGATTAAACTGAATGTGAAATGTCACTTGGATGCCTCCCATGAATCTTTGGTTGTTAAGGAATAACTTCTGTCCCTAACTGCAGGCACAGCTGTGGGCTTTGGTTAATGTAGCCCCTTGTATCCTGTGCATTTTGGGTAAGACATAACAGTTACAGTCGCTTCTAGATTTGCTGCCAGTCCCTACACACAAATACTGATGAAAACGGTGTGTAACATGGCACTCCTAAAAAATAATCATCCACTGACACAAGGAACTGCTGTGCAGTAGCATGTAATTAAGTGTATGTAGAGGTTTGGTACAGAAATGTAATAACTGAGTTGCTAGTGCAAATGTTATTTCCAGAGTTGCGGTATGTACATGCTATCAATAAATGACATCATTGTCATAGATGCTCTTCACTGCCATATACAAACGTCGCTAAGTAATGCTCTCACAAGTCAAACATTTTGCTCCTTTTAGTACCGTTGTGTCCAATGAAATGCAGACAAACCACATGCAGCATCTTGCAACCTGCCAGCTCAGTCTACCGAGCACACATGCAAGCCTGCTGGCATTTTCTGTAATTGAGCAGTGCGTTGTGGTTCCATATGGCTCTGGCAGGAACGTAAAGGAAAATTTGATCACTCATCCTACAGGTAATATCTTTGCTATAGACCTGCTTGTGCAAACTTACTATTTAATTGACTTGCTTAGCATAAGTATGTATCACAAGGAGAAGATGTGCAACCTAAAAACCACATGGTACAGAAGAGTTGGAGAGCGTTGTCCTAAAGTGACAAATTTTATTGCTGTACATTAAATACAAGGAGACAGAAAAAAAACCAAACTCAGAGAAACAAGCTCCTGAGAAGGAATCTGGTTATGTTATATCAACAGCAGTGGTTGTGGGAATTGTGTTAAACAGAGGGTATGAAGAAGGGGAATATTCTAGGGACCTTTGGGGGCCTGAAGACTTGAATTCAGGAAATAGCTTTGGTCATCTAATGAGGATGCTGTTTTGTCAAGTTGAAACAATGATTTTGGTAGAGCACGACTGGCTTTACGTGTTACCGTGAGCTATTTGGTCTCCATGAGTTGTGCCTTGGCCTGATGTCACACATGGGGTTTACCATGTGTTTCACTATCTAGAAACTATTCAAATAGAATTAAGCTTTGACAGTCAAAAGCCTGTGCTGTTCCATTGGTGTGTCTGTAATACACAGTAACTCACATTTGCCTAGAGGCAAGAATTCCAGCATGAAGAGAGGAGGCTTTAGATCATAACATCAGAGGTACACAGTTTATCCTAAATTATTCTATTTTCTAGCTAAATGTTTGGCTCAATAATTACTTGCACCTGAACAGAAGCAGAGGGAATGGACTAGACTGGGTGGTGGTTGCTATCGGTGACTGGATTCGGAGTTTGCCACTGCTAACAAAGGCAAGTTTTAATTTAGAATTAATCTGTACCTCAGAGTAACCACCTTAAAGAAGTTAAAGGCAAGGTGAGTGCAGCTTGTTCTGTCCATTCCTGTGTAACACTCGATCACAGCAGCTCTCTGTAACGCCACCCTCTCTGCAGCTGTCCTAGCAACATGCAAGGACACTGCAGCAGGAGTCCTCTAAATCTTGATATTCAAAGTGAGCACAGAAACACGTGATCTTTATTGTGATGAGTCCTGGTCAGTGGCAAAGTGGCAGCATTTACAGAACACTCTGAGCAGTTTGTACCAAGCCACAGGGTGGAAGCTTTAAGTAAGGCGGGAACATTTATTCACCTACTGTCTTCAGGAGCTGGTGAGCCAGTTCCGGTCAGCTCAAGCAAATGCAAACTTTAAACAATGTTATCCTATAAAAGCACTTTTCTGAGATTAGTTACATCCCCACATGAGCATAAATTCACAACATGGGCTGCAATGAGACATTTCTCTATTGAGAAACAAAGAAGCAGTAGCAGTTCTTGGAAGTTACCAGACTGCTGAAATAGCAGACATCTGCCTTCTAAATTTTCCTCCTGTTGGTATATTTAGAAGAACCTGGCAAAGTTCATTTGACTTCATAGTGCTCCCCTTTTCAGTCTCTGCAGAACAGTTCAGGGTACTACGAAAAACAGCAGAAGCATTAAGTCCCCCACCATGAGCAGTTGGTTAAGTGACACAGAAAGGACAATGCCGAGCAAATGAAACCAGCCGCTGAACAAAGGAGGGAGAACCTATGACCTGAACCCTGTGCAGATACTTCCAGTGCCACGTTGCTTTCCGGTACACTAACCTTCTTCCACTGCCGCTATTGACCACAAAAACATCCGTCCCTGCCTTGCTTCAAAATACTCCTCTGCCTGCCGTTACCTGTTCCGTGCTCTGAAGTGTCGGTCCTCTGGGCCAACTACAAATGGAGGCGGCGGGTGAGGTAGCTGGGACCCAGCTATGGCTGAACCCATCCTCTGGTCAGAGCTACAGCAGGACCTTCTCCTGCTGTTCCTGAGATGAGCAGAGCACCTTGTTGCAGCTGTTGCGAAGGCTTTTCCTGGAGGAGCACCATTCTAGCCCTAACGGTTACACACACACACAGAGCAGTACGAGTAATTGCTCCCACTGACACGGGCCCAGCCAGCGCAGTCATTGTAGGATAAGAAGCCGCTTCTCCCAGGGCTCTGAGAGCTGCTGAAATGCTGCGTTTCACTGCACTTCCCGACAAGAGCAGTCCTGCTGCTTTACATCTAATCCTGCGCGTAAGGCAAGCCAGAGTTGGAAGCAGTGGCCGCAAGCCAGCAGAGCAGGAGACGGGTTGAATCTCAGCCTCAGCCCTCCTCAGCGTGCCGGTGGTGTTTCACATTGCTGCTCTTTCGCACACGGAAGCGAAGCACAGCCAGAGGATAATGCTGGCTGGTGATGTAGGTACAGATATATCTATCAATAGATAGAAAAACATTAACTTGGTGCCTTCTTTTCCTTTTATAGAATCCTTTTATAAATCCATAGTGACGACACACTGTTGCAAGCTCAGGAATACCAGAGAACATCTCAGGGAAAGAAGGGTGTTCTTTAAAGGACTTTTTTGCCTCTGGAAATCCCAATAAGAAGACAGTAGACCTGATCTGGGGTATTTCCACCTCCCAGTCCTGGTGTGATTTCACACCTGCGTGGTTTTCCTGGAACATGAGTCCAGCTGGCAGACCCACCGCTGTGCCTAGAGCCCACCGAGCTGCTCAGGGCTCTGATTCCCATTCAGTGTAGGGCTAGATAACGATTTCCTGGAACTGGACCTGAGGAAACAAGCAAAGGTGACAGAAAAGGCAAGGCAAGGCAAGGAGGCTACTTCTGTTTCAGGAAGCGATGCAGCAAGAGGCTCCCAGCCAGGCCTGTCACACCTTACCACAAAGGCCATCACCCTCCATACCCTCCATACAGCTAAAGCCCCAGTTCTCAGTTTCATGAGGCTCTGGTGCTCTTGGAGCTCCCCAATTCCATCTGCAGTCATTATGGACCAACAGTGCAAGGTCATTTATAGCCCAACCATTACACAGCAGCTTCCTTTGCCCCCCAACTAACTGCAGCAATGAATTACGGAGGCAGGGAGTAACTTGGGTACACGCATTTGGAGGAACATGATTTCCTGGAATTGGCCTTTGTTTGCCATTAATGTTTAGCGAGTTCCCGTATCTCCTTCCATTTCTATTAGTCATAACAATAAAGCCATTACATTTAAACACAAAAGCCAAGCCCACTTACTTTACTTCCTCGTACTTTTTGCCTCGATAAAAGTTACTCTTTTTAATCAGATACAGCAGCACCAGGTCACAAAAGAAAGCTCCCTGCAAAGAGAAAGACCTTGTGTTTCATCTTTAGAGTAGAATAAGGAATGTTCTGATCTAATTTGCAATGAGCATCAATTAAAGAAGAATAACTCATAAAAGCTGTATGTTGTTTCATACTCCATGAAATCTTAGGGGTATTTAGACTAGAAGGTACACTAACAAATGCCTTTGAGACAGGACACAGACACACACCTGACTGAGCAGTCAGAGTAGCAAAAACTCTACTGGAGAAGCCAGAAACCAACTCTCCCATTTTATCCTCGGAACAGATCTGGGTCCCAATATGTTACTTTAAGAAAATACATTCACTTACCGCTCCCATGAGAGCAAGCCCCGATCCGATATTGATGATGGTGGGAATGATGTTAAATTTCCCTGCCTAGAAGAAAAAAGGTCATGAAGTACTTGGTGAGAGAACAACCCAAGAAACAAACTTAGGGGTGTGGTATTACACAGGGGAAGCTACTAGTGCCTGAGGGTGTGTTTTGTTAGCGACAAGCAGGCTCAGCCATAGAAGAGTTGCAGTGAACGATCTTGGAGGCTGAAAGTCCCTGTGTCTCAGACCCAACTGTCCATGGCTGCATTCCTGAGCTTGTGTCATCCCTGGACTAGGCTTTTTTTTTGCTGCAGTGCATACGCATGGAAAACAAGTCTCTGGGGCATATTTGCTTCTGTCAGACTTTAAATGAGTCTGTTTTTAGGTAGAAGGGATGCAGACTCATCTGCACTCCAGGTCATCTCCTTTCTTAGGTAGGGTAAGCTCCACATGGATGAATGGCAAGAGCCCTTTCCTACAACAAGCCAGAGAGGCTGTTCTCATCCCAGAGCTGCCTTCCCACTGAGAGATGTCCCCCCACCTTTTTTTCTCTCCAGGGTCTGAAATATTCTGGCCTGGGACCTCACCTTGCCATTCACCATCACATCAAAGCGGATTCCATACGCTTTAATGAGTGTCCGGTAGTCAACCCCCTCAGCATCCCGGTAATATTTGGCAAACCTGGAATACAACAGTGCTGATTTTAACTCCATCTTCCACACACACAGAAGAACCCATCTGAATTCAGCTATCTCTTCAAACAGATCTATTCCCCTATCAAACATAGCTTTAGCTTGCCATGAGCACAACTCCCTCCCTTCCCTCCTGATGAAGCAGTGTGCTTGGATGCTGGCATGATCTGGTACTACTTCACCACCAACCTCCAGCACCTGCGAGTCAAACCAGCTCAGCCCGACTGTGGTACAGCATCGTATTCTCCTCTTTACTTACCTGAAGTTGTACCCAGAAGAGATGGACTTTTCTGCAAAGTTGTTATCCAGCCGGCTAAAAGAATAGTGAGGATTACATTCAGAAGGGGCTTTATCAAGATCACAGTTCCATTCAATCTGAATTCCTATCACACCACCCTTAACGAAAGAGAGAGACAGCGTGAGTTTTTTAAGCTTAGTTCAGTTAAAGTGTCTTCAAATTTGTCAGATCCTTGGGCAAGTTTTCCCCAGGGACAAGAACAGCTGTATTTCTGGTCACAGACACAAGCACACACACTTCTGGATGGGCTAAGTTCATGCTTTTGATATTAATCACATTGCTCTACACACAACCCTAGCTTTCCCTGTGCTGGCATCCTAGGAGGAGATCTCTCATCCCAGGACACTGATTTCATTAATTTAAGTGACTGTAATATACTTCAGTGGAGAAGATGCTCTTTTATGCAGGGATGAGGTTCACACGTGCCAAAGCTGGACAGGAGGCAGACCCCCAGCCAGCGGCTCCCCTCATGGCCACACAAGCACCCGAGCCCAAGGGGCACTCCTACCTCCAAGGCCATTTCCTGGAAGTCGCTCCCAGCCCACTGGACAATGGTCCCCAGGAGGAAGATGGGGCAATAGGGATGCTCCGTGCTGTAGCGGCAGCTCTTCAGGTAGGACTCATTGTCAGTTGCCAGCACATTCATCCTGCACATAGGGAAGAGGGAAATCCACTTTGTCTCCTCTCTTTGCTTGCCCACACAGCCTACGCCACCAAGACTGTGGAGACGAGAGACTTCTCCAACACCTCTCATGCACAACAGAAATGGCACCTTGCCACCAGCCTCGTCACCCTGCGAGCCTTTCCACTGCTGGCCCAGGGAAAGCAGTCTGCTCACACCAAAAAAGAAGACCAGGCCAGATGGGGACTAGGCCAGCTGAATCTGGGGCTCAGGGAAGGACTTGTATGGAGCAGGTTTCCAGGGTGCTCCAGGGCCACTTACTTTTCTCAAGCTAAAAAATGAAGATGCTAGAAATGTCTATCTGAGCCTGGTAGAATAGCAAGAACACGCTCCTTTCTACACTTCTTTCTTTCATTCATACTGGAGCGAGAGCCGCAGCAGCAAATGCAAACAAATACATTAAACCTGCATTTTCCCAGCCTTGTCCAGGCGCCTGTATTTTTATGGAAGTACAGGAATATCCGGGAGCAGAAGCAGCTCTGTGCTGATTATGCACTGGCTGGCAGACAGATCCATCTGCCTTAGGAGCTCTGGTGCATCTCATACTGTAGGAGCCATCGCAGACCTCATTTGGTGAAGGACAGCCTTATCCCAGTTGCTCTCTGAGAAGCTCCAAGCCCTCATTATCTCCTTGTTCCCACACAGCCTGAAGCCAAAGGCCTCCCCCCATGCCTTAGAAGAGGGAATATCTGCCTCCCCACCCCAGCCTGCCAGCAGAGGGACAGTGGAGCCAACCAAGGTTATTGGTTCTGTGATGGAGAGGACAGAGGGATCTCTGAGCACCTGCACTTACTTGGAGAACTTAAACTTGGGGAAGCGGATTGAGTTCTTGATGTAAACAGTGAAGTTTTCTGCGCTGGCAAGAAGTGGTTTCCTGCAAGAGAAGGGTTTGTTATCTGTTTTATGTTCATACCTTCCCCACATGTTTAAACTGGAATTGCCGTTTTAGAAACAGCTAGGTTTCATCCCGTGGTGCTACACCAGCTATGCCACTTCCCTCACACTGCCGGCAAGGAGTTGGTGAGGAACGTGCAGGTTGAGGGGAAGCCCTGAGAGCTGGAAACAGCCCTGGGACAGCAATGAGCCAAGCAGGGGGGAGCAGAGGGCCAGTCCTGCCAGGCGGCCCTGCAGAGCTCCCTCCAGAATGAACAGCCAACATTCAAGCAAGCGTCCAAGCAGAGGGAACCCAGAAACAGCCCTGAATGACACACAAGCCAAGCAGCTCAAGCTTGGAAACAGCTTAGGATGACCACGTACTTGGGCTTGGACCTTTTTTCCACTGGGCACCAGGCCAGTATCTCACAAGTCCCTCTGATGCTGTCCCTGTCTTTCAAACAACGGCCAGTCTTAACCCCTGCAGCACAGACATCACAGAAAAGGTCACACAGAGCAGCCACCTCCTCTTCTTGCCTACCGGGCACACAAAAATCAGATCACTGCCACCCAAAGACCTCCCCCCGCCTATGAAAGGGCCTCTCAGCTGGAACAACCATTCTTTTCTTGCTTCTCTGAGCAGCCCTAGGTGCTTTGGCCCAGCCACCACAGAGTTGTAAGCAAGCAGCAATCTTAATAAAAGATAGTAAAGAAAAGAAAGTCCTCGGCACTCTCTGTAATCAGAGATCTCTGGGGTTGTAACCAGGCTGATGCTTCTGAAGAAATCTGCCTCTACCAGAAACAGTACAGGAGGAGGGAAACTTCCCTTACCATTGCCAGCCACCACTGCTTCCCCTGCCGGGCAGTCCCCATCCTTGTAACACAGGGCGTCGGGAATGCTGGCACTCTGCAAAGTGGAAGAGGACAGAAGTGAGACCTGTAACGGGACACAAAGACTCGGAGAAAGTGCTGCTGATGTGGGGTGAATCCTCTACAGGATGGTGAAACACTGAAAATGTGCCGCTAAAGTGGTAACGGCAGGTCATGTGCAAATAGCTCAACAGTATCATACCACCCACAACACCATGGTTCAGCTACAAGTCCTGCTTTTGGGCTCTGCTCAATCTGGAGAGGGACAGGCTGTGGAAAAACCTAGATGTCATCTACCATTCACCAAAAGCAAGTAGGAGGCCACAGTGCTTCACCTTAAGAGATAACCTTACTTTTGTTTCAAGCTACAAGCTCTCTGAGCTCAAAATTACCCTTCCCTTGGCTGCACGCTGGATTAATGCAGCCACTAGAGGACAGCCGCGTCCTGAACAAACAAGCTGTGCTCTCAGCCTGGGCTACCCCTCTGCTTGTGATACGGAAAATTAATCACTGCAACATGGAGACGACACTCCCTGGATGGCCAGTGTCCTCCTCCCTCAGGCTCCAGCCCATTCTGAACCATGTCTCCACAGAGGACATTTTAACATGACATGGAAAGACCTCATGCCTGTGGCCCATAAGGCATGTTCTGGAAGATACCATGCACCCTCCCACGTCCTGAAGGTAACAAAAGCCTGAATGTTCAGCCCTTCTCAGGACAGGGCTCTTAGAAAGTCTCCTCTACCCGTAACTAGACCAAGTCACCTCAAAGTTGTTTTCCCATGACCTTTTCTGGTCCTGAGCAATCACTGCTCTGGTCTCATCTCCAGCTGAGCAGTTGTCCAACACCTTCAACTAAAGTCAGCAAGACTCTACATGATCAGTGCCTCTGGAAATTAAGAGAGCTGAACCTCCCAGGTTGGCAGTAACCAGTCTGATTTTCCCAACTGAGATATTATACTACAGAGAAAAACCGTTCGCCTTTCATCCTTCCTGTGTTCGTTGCTCCCCGGGTGTCCTCTGTCTGTTCTTACCCTCGGTTTTGTAGGGATCTGGGGGCCAAGGGGCTCAGTTCTTCCTACCTCAGGACACGTGGCTTGCCTCTGGTTTGGGGTCACAATCAGATTCGTCATGACAAAGAAGACGTTCTCACCCTTGAATAAACAAAGTAAGGCAGGAAGTATTAGAAGAACTGTTTTGCTCTTAAAATACCTGTTACAAGGGGGATGCAGTTCTCTGCAGAACAGTAACGCCTCTCTCTCCCCTCATACTTTTATACTTATCAGGCTCAGATACAGCAGTGCCCCTTTGGATGAGGCTGGTGGGTCTCTGTGGGTTCTGCTTCAAGGACTGCATTAATTTGGTGAGCAGGAGTGCTGAGCCTTGCCTTGCTGGCTGCTCAGCAAGTGCTTGTCCTCCTTTTCCATAAGGACATGGTGCAGGATCAGGGATCAAAGGCCCCATCCCACTGCAGAGCTGTGGGTGTTTGTTCTCAGCCAGGGTCTGGCTGGTTGCCCCAGCTGTGCTGTTACAAGCCCGAGCTCACGGAGTGAGGCAGCAGGGCACAGCGCAGGAGTAATGGCACATGCAATAAAACAAAACAGAGTACTTCTAGCATGGCTGTAATAGAGAGAATATAGATCCCTTTACTGAGCCATTGGGATGACTGTCTGAGACATGCAAGTAGAGACTTGACTGCAGTTTCATCCCTAAAATCCTAATTTCTGGCAGTGTAGCGTTTCCTTGGTATTTAGGCAAAGCTCCCGTACTGGAGCCTTCCCTTCTTTGCACATTTACAGCTTCTATTTGGTCCCTTCCCCACATTCAGCAAAAAGCTAAAATAGCTAACTTTTCCCCTTAATGGTTTCCCCTTAAGAACCAAACACCAAAGGAAACCACAGGAAAAACAAGCCTGCAGACAGCTGTACAGTCAGCAAGAGGGGAAAGAAAGCAGCTTACCACAGCACTGCAGAGGGAGCCTGGTTCACCACTCAGAAGTGAAATGAATGCAGAAATAAACCATGTGCTTTAAGATTTCTGCTCCATACCATGCGCACGTGGGAAAGGCAGGAGGGCCAGTAACAGCACCAGGCTGCAGCCACAGAACCAGGGATGTCCCCCGCCAGCCCCCTGCGCTGCGGAGCCTGGCTCAGCGCAGGAGGGGCACACAGAGCCACTGGAGCCAGCCCACGGTCCTGCTGTGAGGCAGGGCAGTCCTGAGCATCTTGGACAAAAAATCCTCACCCCCGGCAGGAACCGGCAGTGCGTCGAGCCCTGCCACCTGTAACACTGGTTACCTGCATGAGCGAGCACCTGGTAATAAAAAAAACTGATCAGGAACAAACTCTGGACCCCCCCGCCCCACAAGGCTGCTCTGAACCACAACAGGGAACAAGATGTTCCTTCAAATCTGTGGGAGAACAAGCCCAAGAAAGCAATGAGCGAAGGATTCACCAGGTGAATCCCTGCTCTGCATTCAGCTTAACCCCGTAGTGCCACTGGTTCACCGTGTCCCAGGGCATTCTCAGCCCTCAGTGGTGAATTTCAGCAGGCTGAGTGCCTGCCGTTTATTCTGCAGTCTCTCAGAAAACCCCTTCCAGCACACGGCAGGACCTGTTGCACGCAGACATAGAGATCTCAGGTTTCCATCTGCGAGAGCAGAGCTCGGTGCTCCTGCACTCGCCTGGCTCGCTCTCCTTCCCTCACTGTGCTTTGCGTGGCGTGGGTTTACCCCACATCCCACCAGTACTCTGGGACACAGGTATGTCTGTCCTCAGCAGGAGGGACACATTGGTCAGCGGCCACGCTGGTGGGCTCAGGAGAGCTGCCCCCATTCTGTGGGGGAGATGGGGTTTCTCCCAGCCCTCACTGCCTCCTGCTCGGGTCTCTCCAGCACAAACCAGCCCCCCCAGACCCACCAGGACAAGGCAGGACTCTCCCTCCCAAGTGAAATGAGAGATTATGCAGTAGTTAGCAGAGCAAGTCACTTAATACACTGGTAGCAGGCATTCAGATACTCCTAAAAACCCATGTGGGATGCATCTCACGATTGACCCGAGACATTCAGCAGATAAACAGTAATGAGCTCACAGAGCAGGAAGGCTCGTAAGATGTCTACGTTTGCATACACAGTCCACAGAAGCTGCTGAATTTCACTGTGAGCCCAGGGTCTAACATCACCATGGTTGCTGAAGGCTGCTGGACGCTGGGGCAGACTGCAGTGGTGCTGGATTCAGTGTTGTAGACTGACTGCCCAGTCATGGTTGGCTTCAGGATGCCATAGCCCAGACAACTGCGCTGCAGAGCACGCCAGCCCAGAGGGCAGAGACAGCTATCTTTACTCAGCACACCCTACTGCAATAAGCCAACGAGCAGGAACAAGAACACTGAGTCACAGGAGAAACGTCTGAGAAGTTAGAATACTGGTCAGCGTCACCATTTCATTTCTGGGTGTGCACACCAGCCACCTGCTAAGTGTCCCAGGGCTCCCACACAGCTTGAACAAGAGGCACCGCAAGCACTGCCCTTCCTGCTGCACAGCACGTGTTGGTCTGAGACCGATATCCTGCAGTGAGGCTTTGCATTGGAATTGGTGGAGATGCAGAGCACAGATCCACGGGTCTGAGTAAACATGGGCTGCAGCAGGAGGAAGGTGAAGCCTTATTCTTTTGTACAGACAAGTAAATTGTTTGATTTACCACTTTCTGCCCCCTGTCAGGACAAGACCCTCATTCTCCCCTCACCCCTTTCCATGCACGTATGACAGACACGAGCAGGGAAAGCACAAACAGCCGCTGGCAAGCACAGCTGGGCAATTTCCAGCCTGGTGTCAGGCCACATCTGCTGCCATCTTTTCCCCTTACGCATCAGCTATGCACCTCATGGTCAAGTCAAGGAAGCAGCAAGGCAGGTTTAGCCAGACACATTTCAAGCAACGCTCATCACTCAAATCGCGCCACATTTTCTTTCCATCTCCCACCCGCTCTGGGCTGCCCCATGCGTGCCTGCTCTAGCCCGGGAAAAGAGGCAAACAGCCACTTTGCTCAGCTGAGCACAGTCCCAGTGAAGCCCGCAGGACTTCTGCTTGCAAAGTTCTGCTTGCCAAATATCGTGGGCCTTTGCGAGAGAGACAAGGCTGCTTTGATATTTGCTGGAAGCCCTAAGAGAAGGCACAGCACTGCTTTCTTGTAGCCCACCTCCTGCTTATTCATAGGAAAGACCTGGACACATCACTTCAGCCTTTCCACCAGCAACCACGCTGGAAGATGTCCTTCTAGCGGAACGGCACAGGCGACAGCAGCAGGGTGATGCTAACCTGCGGAGGGATGACGTAGTCTGCCACATCCCACAGCCTCTCCCCCAGCTCTGAGGTGTTGGTGAAGGCTACCCCTTTCAGTTTGGTGATGACAGAGCTCTGGAGGGATGTGTCTGTGTCCTGATAGCCTTTCTTGACAACAAACACCCACCTGCAAAGACACAGAAAGAGCGGCATTAGCAAGTGGGGGCAGGGAACGAGTTAGCCAGACATTTACACCAAGGCCAAACACTGTTCAAGGGCAAATCAAAACGTACCAATGATACCAAACACCCTGCAACTACTACAACAAATTTAGAATAAACTCTTTGACACAAGCTGTGCTTATCTGCAGCACTGGAGGAAGAGTCAGGACCAAGACTCCACACCCAGGAAAGGTGTCATTGGTCATGGGGTAAAGCAACAAGCCTCCCGCCTCGCTGTCCTGGGCTAGCACCCTCGATGGAAAGAGGGGAGGGCAGGGCTCTGCGTTCCCCAAGATGAAAAATAATATGAGCTTTTGCAAGTTGCAGCGAAGAGTGTGGTTGGTTTCACAAATACGCGACTCGCTCCCGTTTTACCAGCCTGCCCTTAGGCCACCCGTCCAGCCACCGACCACGGCTGGGCCGATGCGATTCCAGCAGGAGAGCTGAGTAGCACTAAGAGAAATCTGTAGGGAATATTCTCAGCTGGATACAGGACCTTTCACAAGCCAGCGTGACGGTAAGAACCCGAGTGCACCCCGGCCTCTGCGCCGGGCTTCAGGCTCCTCACCAGCACATCTGGAAGAGCTGCATCCTCGCTAAGCACTCCAGGGAAAGGTTTTGCTTACTTCTTCCCACTGGAAGCAGCAAGAGCTCCGTATCAGTGGTGAAAACCTCTCTGGGTTAAAGCTTCTCCACAGTACAGCCGAAGTCAGCTGCCAAGACAACAAATCACACAGACCCTTGAAGAAGCCAAGGGGCAGTTTTTGGGGGAGGGAGACAGGCTGCATTTGCAGGCACAGCTCCCGTTGCAGCGCAGATGGCACGCAGAAAGGGAGAGCAGCCGTCTCTGGGGCCGAGCAGCACTGACATACGCTGCCCTTCACCTGCTACTCGTGACAAACATGAACAGTAACATTTCCCACCCCTATGAAGTTTCCTACTTCCCTGTTTTCCCACAAACACTGTTTTTCTCTCCCAGGAGGGCTCAAAAGCAGACCCTTACGTTTTCCACAGCGGATCAGGGAGGAAATGGCAGCTACAAGCAAGAAACGATCCAGAGGGTTTTGACGATCACAAGCCCCTCGCCAGCCTCTGAACGGCTATGGGTACGTAATCAAGCAGCCAGTCGTCAGACTAACGCTAACCACCTCTGCCAAGCCCCCAGCCGCGACGGGGTCCCTGCAGGCGCCATCGGCGACGGTGCCAAAGGTTTGCAGAAAGCGATAGCTGCCTCGGGAAGAAAACAGCCTGTATGGCCCAGGCAGGCTCTGAACACTCACGGTCACCGGCCGTGCCATATCCCTCTTGGATGGAGGATGTGTCCTCAGCAACATTATTTAGAGGATTTCTCCTTTAGCAGCTAATACATGCCAGACTGCTGAGACTCCATCTCTGCCCTGCTAGCTAAAGCAGGCTCTGGAACTGTACACCCTTCCATAAATAAACCCAGCATGTAAAAATGACTCTGCTATATTTAATCAGTGAAAACACGACGTGTAAGAAAGGTTGAAGGGACTCAGAAACACAGCCAGTGAGGGTAAAGACCTATGAACCACTTTCTGCAAAGCCTCAGAAACTCAGGAAGCAATGACACAGGCATCACATAGGCTGGATAATTCCAGGTCTGAGCCTGCAAAGCTGCAAGGAGCATTGCTGTGTTAGTTACATGTCGGCGTGACCAGCCTCTCGCAGAACTGGGCCTTTTCTGAGAGGTGCTCTAGCAATCTCCATGCCAACCCGCCCTGCTCTGAAATAAATGCAAGGCATCCGACTTTCATACTGTCTCAGCCTCCACAATCCTGGCTGCTGCAGCCCACTCCAGCGAAGAAATCTGCCGCTTTGTGCTTGGTTCCCTCCCGTTTAGACTTGAACACATAATGCAGCTGTGCAGACAAACCAGGTTTGTCCCCGGGCTCAGCAACCGCGGCCATAAATGCTCTTGTTTCTAATGAGTCAGGTGTTAAGCTTTGGCACCATTCCCACCGAATACAGAAATAAAGGCGTAAATAATGCAGTACAAAGCCAGTGCCATTTGATCTATTTTTAACCCGATGTTAATCTGGAAGGTAGAGCTGAATCTAGCGATTCCTGGCAGGTGAAAAATCAGATATGAGTCTATCAGACGTTACAAAATCCAGCTGTATAAACAAGCATAACTATCTGCATTAAAATCATAAGCCATAGCAAGCTGTCACTGTACGCAGAGTATCCCACATCAATCTTCATCACAACACAGCAAGCGAACGCAACCGCAGCGGTATGTGAAACGCAGGGTGACTCTTACCCCACCAGGTAAGCCAGGATGGAGAGCTGCACCACTCGATAGAGAATCCCCACCTTCTTGTTCTTCGCAATGACGTATTTCTCTGTTTTATAATCAAAAAGCGACAGAAATAAACCTTTCCAAGCCACCTGCCCCATGCTCCCGGCTCGCTCTGTACCGGTGGCTGGAGCAGGCAGCAGCGTTTGCAGCTCGCATTATCCACACGTGCTCTGCATGGAAACCCGAACACCAACCCCTTCAGAGCAAGAGGCTGATCTCCTCCCTCCCATCAGCTGCTCGCCAGCAGCAGCTCTCGGGTCGGAAACCGGCAGCTGCACTACCACGAGATCCTTCCTTAGCTGCTCGCCAGCTAACTCACCCTCTGGGGAAGCCCCCGCCTCAGTTTCGCCCCCAAGCTTCATCGTCTCCCCTACAGTCACAAAATGTTTATAACGTTATAAATGAAGTCACAAAATGTTATAGCATGAAGCCATGTTACAGCATCCAAGGTGACAGAGCTATAATCTCTCACTGTTAAGTATTAAAGCCTTTCTTCAGCCTTTACGTGATGGCAAAGCACCTGGTTAAATTTTTAATTTCTCGAGTATTTGCAGGAGCAATGAGAACTCGGGTCCTTACCAGTTATCCAAAATACTTGCCTGGTTACTACATCTTTCCACCAAAAAACCCCAACAACTTAAGAAACTGATAAATTAATCCTGCATCTGGTTAAGGGATCAATCACCATCACGTCTGACTAAAATGCCCAGTGAGCGCTGAGCTAGGCACATACAGACACAGAACATACCATCTGACGGAACACCAAAGGGAGAGGAACTGGTTAACCCTCGCTGAGGTAAGAGTTGTTTATTAGCCAGTAGTGCAAGAGATGACTCCTAGCCTAACAGAGACATTTGCATGTGCAAGGACATGAAATGATCATTACTTAAGCCAAGAAGGGTGACACTGTCTCCTGGCTAAGGAGGGAGCAGAATGAGCTCTCAGGTGGAAAATTAAGTGAGTCAGGACCTTCCAGCAGCCTGGCTAAAAGAGCTAACATCCCTCACCAAGAGGAGATCCAGCAGCAAGCTGGGATCCGAACTGGAGCGTGCCCTTGCCGGGGGGATCCCGCACCCGTGCGCTGACGGGAGACACCTCCCAGGGGCTTCTTCTGGGATGGGACTGCTCAGAGGCTGAATCTGCTAACGAGTCTACCGGAGACATGAGGAGGTGTATCGGGCATAAAGAGGAGGGTTTACTGCGTTCATGCATGAGCACCCAATTAGCTCATGGGGCTTTGTCAGGACTGGGGAGGCTCTCGAGATTACACAGCGTGCAACTGAGATACACACTCGAAGGCAGGCCAAGAGAGCGGGTCAGGCCACGGGGGCAGTGATCTGCTCCAGCACACGCACCGCCGCGGCTCTCCTCCCACGGAGAATCATTCTCAAGACCTTGGGTTTTATGAAAATTTGATCTTTCATCCTTCTTAACTTCCATATCAAACTTAAATGGATGGATCAGATTTTTAATGAATATCTGACAAGGTTGCTCCTTCTCAGATATTCATTAAAATCACAAGAGATTTTAATCACAAGAGAACCACAAACAGTGTTATAACGAACAAAACACTATCCTCAAAATACCTCGTTTTGTCCCTCATCCCACAGCCATCCCTAGAGTTTCCTCCTGCAAAGCAAAGGAAACCTTTCTCCAGCAACTGCAAAACTAGAACAGAAATGTGCCCGTGGCCTCCTTTTAACCCGGTGGCTGCCGCGCTCCCCAGCTCCAGCCCCACGGCGGGCGACTGCTTCCGCACGGGGCTCTTTCTTTCGGGGGTCCTGGGGCGACGGGCCCGCGGCCGTGGGAGTGAGCCCCCCGCTCCCACGCACCCCCCGATCGCGCCTCTGGCTCGGGTTTAGCCCCAGCCCTGCTCTCAAACGTTGCGGCTGCCCTTCAGTCTCAGCACAAGCAAAGGGCTGGTCTTGCTCACCTCCCGCTCCCCGTGTCCCCCCCCTTCCCCATCTGCACAGCCCACATGGGCAGTCTCACTTTATCTCCCGAAACATGTTGGCTGCTCCCCACGCCCCTCCTGGAGCCCTCTTTCTCACTCAAGAAGCTGCTACTCATGGTTTCTCTCTTCCTCAAACGACATTTGGCCGTTGTATCCACCCCTCCGTATCAGATGCCGACAGACTAGATTGTCACTAGTTCCAGTCTTAAAGAGCCTCCGTGTAAAAGCCTGAGGCACAAACAAAAACGCTTAAAACATATAATAACCAAAGGAGACAAAACCCTCCAAGAAAATACACTTCTGCAGGGAAGAAGGAGATCACAGTGGTCCATGAGGCCAGAAATGAGTAAGGAAGAAGGGTAGGCTCAGCCTATCTTTCCTCGCCACTGCTCGGAGCCCAGAGCCAAGCTGGGACTGGGCACAGGGAGGCTGACCCAGCTCCACGAACCTTTATGGAGACAGGAGCATCCTAAAGGATCTACCACCCGATCTCCTGCCCAGTCTGCTCCTAGATGAGACGCACAAGCCACTGGGTAACAGCCAAGCGGCGTTTCTGATCACGGGTCTGGTCCCACGACAACACCGTCCGCTTGCCCTGGCCCTGCTGGAGCGGCCTGAGGGACAGGGCTGAGTGGTGAGCACATCCCATGCCTCAGGACCGCCTCCGCCATTGCTCGTGCTGCACCAAGAACACCCAAGTTCACGGACGGATGAAGTATCAGTGGAGACAAGTCAGCCCTTGGTGCTGTCTAGAGACCGCCCCCGCCATCCCCATCTTCCTTATCTGTCTGGGCGACTGCACAAGCCAAAATCAGACCAGGAAACTTGTGTTGCCTCCTGGCCTGGTTTTACTTAGTGGCACAGACGTAGGTCTGCTATGAGCTTTTGCAATTATTTTCCAGGTCAATTAATGTGAGATTTACACAGGTTAGAAAAAACGTTCCTTAAGAGTGAGAAGTTACAGGTGTGACCTGAAGATGTCAGGTTTGATCACTAAAAAAAAAAAAAAGATTGAAAAAACCAAGAGAAGTATCAGTTTTACAAGTCACCAAGTAGAAGCACAGTTGCAAGGGTTGTTTTTGAATAAAGTTTCAATATGGATCAAATGTTCCTCAGAATATTCTGAATACTGCTCAGCATGGGCTAGATTTGTGCTGACAACAGCATTGCTGGCATGCTCTTGCAGATATCATTCTTACCACCTGTAGTTTTCACAACCTTATTTTTGTTTTCTTTCCTGCAAATCAAGATTACTGCTTTTTTTCTGTGTTTTTCAAAGTATCTGTGGGTTGCTCAAATATAAGCAGTTTCACTTCCAGGGGGTGAGGGAGGAGGGTAGAATAAATGAGCTAACAAAATCTACTCATCATCAGTTAAAGACAAAAATCCAGTAGTTTCTCTTAGTCCTTCTCAAGGGACTGAGGCTGGATGTCTTCTGCAAGATATCTCCCTTCTTGAGTCCAACATTTCGAATTTCCCATGGAAAAAAACCAGTTCTGCTCCTTTCCCATGAGGACTGTTCGCTCAGTCGGGAAACTCTCACAGGGAGGATTTCTCCCCCAGTAACAAAACTCTCTCTCTCTCTTTTTTCATTCCTGACATGTTACACCTATACGTGACTCCTCATACTGCTCTCGGCAATTGCTTTCTCATTATTCACACGTACTCATAGGATACATGTCCCTGTCTGCCCAGACTGCTCCTCATCTACACTCACCTGTCAGTAGCTCTTTGGTGTTAACCTGCCCCAGTGCGGAACTCAGCCCAGTCACGAGCCCGTAAATGCCACGTAAAGGGACTGCAGAAATTAAACTTTAGACCCCTGCTCTGACACAGTGGCATCTGAAACACAGCGAGGTCACATCTGTCTCTCTACGGCATTGTAGCACAGAAACATCTCCCATTCGGACCGACAACGTCTTTAACTCGCACCCAAAAGGGACCACGTGTTTTCCCGGCAACGGCAGACAGCCCTGGCCAGTACAGGCGTGATTCACGAGTCACTGATGGAGGTGCCCGTTTTAGGCACTCGTCTTGTTTGCTTCCAGTTCCAAACGATCACCCCTAGGCATTAATTCTCCCCGTGATCTCCACTCCACCCTTTATTGAGCTATCAAGCGCAGCAGAAAACGTCGGCTCCCAAACGCACGATGGAGGGCTCATAAGATGCTGAGACATTTCTGAAGCCCTGGAAATGCTCCTGCAGCAAATGTCTAAGTGATGCAGATGCATCATCCGTTAGAAACAGGCGCCAGACCAGCTACTGAAATAGAAAGGAGACAGGGAGCAGAGGATGTAAATAGGAGATAAACTATTTTGGCAAGGAAATGAACAGAGGACAAGGCAGAAGCCAGCTCTCTCCATTAGTGTTTTCTTCTCATAGTATCATACTTGTAGGTCAACATCTTAAAAAAAAAAAAAAAAGAGGGGAAGAGTTGAAAAGGTTGAAAGAGTTGCTTTTAAACCACAGCTCATGCACACGGAAACACACAGAAATCAGCAACATCATGCATAAGGTGCTTTCTGAAGATAATGGGTTTGGATGCAAAAACAAAGAAATCTGCGTGCAGCCTGCAGTGAAAAATGTTCCGTTCAGCTTCTCTTTTAATCCTTGCCGTGACTTTGCAGTGTAAACAAGCAGTAGGCTGCTACCTGCCAATGAGAAATTCACCAAAATCAGCCTCAGTATTTGTCCTCCTACCTAGCATCCCTGCACACCCAGCCACAATAGAAAAGGAAATCTTTCTTTCAGGAGCTATTAGAAAAACATTCAGATTCTTTTTTTTGCCTAGAAAGGGCATCTGTGGAAAGAGTCTTTCTGTCGTTACCCACAGGAGCATCCAAACCTGTCTGTAGGAGTGAGAAATGGAAGCATGCTGAAGCTCTAAAATATATTCTCTTTGCTTCAGCTCATCATTTCCAGCAGAGCAATTTTCAGCTTTATGAAAAAATGCATTCCAGGTGTCTTCCCCAAGTCTCGAATCTCCTACACAGTGTGCAGGAGGTCTTGTTATCCTTAGCCGGAGTGTTTATCCCCTCCTCTCTCCCAACCCAGGAGGTGAAAGTGCTTGAGGAAGAGGACCAAAGACAGGGAAGAAAAATACTGCACATCTAATGAAACTAATCCATCATGGCCTGTTCTGTGAGAGAGCTGGCACTGAGACAGATAACAGAAATTAAATAAAA